ATATATATATATATACACACACACATATTGTCCAGCTTCGCAAATTGATCACTTATCTGGTAAGTATATGTATGCACAAATGTTTTGCGGTGATGTCCCATCGATCGTGTGAAGAGGTTCAGTATCTCTCTCTCCTCATCTCGGTTCTGCTGTCGTCTTAACATTCCAGATAAATCTGCATCGATAATGGACCGACAGCAGACCCCTGCAGCCGTTGTAGTACAAGTAGTAATACTCCCCCACCCCACGAGCCACCGCGGCCAAGTGCACGTCGGTGCGGGGCCTTTGCTCGCGTGTTCCCGCGAGAAACGCCGGCGGCTCCGTGGCTACCCCCCGGGGCCCCACGACGACTGGCGCCTCCGCCGCCCCCGCCGCATTCTCGGCCTCCGCAAATTGATTTGCTGTTAGAGAATTAGGCGCGCGCGTCTGCGCGGGTGTTTGCGCGGGCGGCAGACGACACGGCGGTCGACCAAAGTCAATAGTCGATACTACGTGCGTGTGTGTGTAGTACGTACGCGCGCGCGGCGAGTTGTGGTTTTACGTCCTAGCGGAGAGTGTGCCCACGCGCGCGCGCAGTAGTGGCACTGGTACTGATGCTGCGTGCTCGCAGCTGCCACTTCATTCAGTCGGCACTCGCATCTTTGCTCAATTAGCAAAACACGGTGATGGTTTTTGTCGAGAGTTGGGCGGCATACGCTGCGTTTTCGCTTTCATAACGGTCAGTAGCAAATTGCGCTCCGTACGTTGGTAGACTGGTGCCGGCGTCTCTGCGCGGCTGTGCGTACACCCGCTGTCTCACGCTGTTAGATTTCTACTCTGGTACCCATCCTTTACCATGTGTTTGCGACTTTGCGTAATGGAATTATCCGAGCATCGATTTCCCATTGTTGGGGAAGATGTAAATAGGAGAGCTCCGTGGAATGGGGGAACACAGGCATGTATAAGCCCATAAATGTGTATGGCTATTTCATGGAATGTCCTTAGTTGGCCGCCTAGAGAAATCAGCTCTAGCTCATTGTGAATTTTGAGGCTGTTACTGATAAAATTCTCACGGGAGGAGATGCGATACGGGGTGCGTGAACGAATAGTTGCATTATGTGCAGAGTTTCAGCGAACCGTCTCTTACTATGGAGTTTTATGTACACTCGCGGTTGTGCAAATACATTTTACACCAATTCTAGTCTAGCTCCGTAATTTTCACGTACGAGTACGAAGTCATTTACTAGCCGAAGCGACCCTTCGCGAGCACGTCAGTCCCATTGACTGCAGGTTTGTTTAGCAGTCCGGCTAACCTGTCGACGGAGATGTGACATTTGTTGAATCTCGTGCTTGCGAAGCGATTACGTGTTGACTTGACCTGCCACTGCCGGTCTCCCATTCGCGTGCCTGGGACCGCATCGCATGGCTGGGGGAGGAATACCGAGTAACCCGTTCTCTCGGGCCGGACAGTAACGGGATTAGCACCGCGTGAGAGCGTGATTACCGCACAATGATGCTGCCTGTCAGTGTTATCTGTCCGCGAGATGAGAATGGATTTTAGAAAGGGACAGCAGTCACAGCACGCGAGCCTGAATAAGACAATCAGACGTACACGAATTGAATAGCGCCGAAGGTCAATGTGTAGTAGTAGTGTAGTACACGACGACGTTAGTATGATTTAGCAATGTAAGAATAAAGGGTGCAGAAAACCGACAAACAGGGTAGAAAGGGAAGAGGGGTTAACATCGATTTGAGACAGGAAAGATGAGAGATATCGGAAAGGGAAGGGCGAGAAAGAATAATGGGCAGGTTACCATGTTGGGGATGGGTGAAGACTCTGGTTTTTAGCTCACCGTGACATCGTCAAGCTGAGCTATTGCCATGGGTCGTCGTCCGTCCGTCCGTCCGTCCGTCCGTTATAGATAGATAGATAGATAGATAGATAGATATATTGACATTTCAAACTTTTGTAATTTGCTGCATCTAAACACCATTGCACGTCCACACGCTTCCGCTTCGACGTAAACAAGTCTTTTGTTGGAAATGTTCACCAGTGCACAATCACATGAGCTCCGCGTAAAAACCGTGCTGTACGCCTGGCTGCCACTAGCATTGATTCTTGCTGTGTGCGCTTGTGTAGCCGACACGAGAGAGTGAGCCATTGCGCAACATTAATTCTAGAAAATAGATATTCAAAATATTTGAAAATTCGATATGGCGCTCAATCATGGGGAAGCTTCAAAAGTTTTAAGGAAATAGCTGCAGCGCATGGGGCTGCATCATGGTGGCCAGCGTGAGCGAGAAAGAGATCATAGTCGATTGAGGCAGTAACGCTAATTCAATCTCTCCTTCCTCAGTGATTTCCCCATCACGTGGTGACAGCACAGGAGAACGTGCGCTCAATATATCCGCAGTGATTCGATCGAAATAAAAAAATGGTTAAGTCAGCATCCGCACTGAAACCACGCTACATTGATTCACGGATTGATACTACAGCGAGTGTTTTGTTTTAATCTAAAATCAGAGTTTAGTCGCGTGTGTGACACGCGCCGAATCTTCACTATAACTCTAGCGTCTGTAAGGGTGCGTGTACACGCCAAGCGACTTCTGATATAGACGATACAAAGTAGAATCATAACGTAGATTCACATCGTAGTGATCGTACATAGGAATATATTACACATTACACGAATAAAGACATTCGACCGTGGATACAGTTCGCTTCACCCATTCATTCGCTTCGCCTTCACCCATTCCATATGTCGTTCTAGCTCGGGTCGTTTAATTTTAAAACGTAATATATATGTGTTTGCTGCGTGAACAGATCCTGTATGTTTAGCGCACACATTGCCAGGGTCGTCGGCGAGAACTGTGAGAGTAATGACACCGGATTAGTTAAACTGGATGTATCAATATACATATCACAAGAGTTCAACTTAATGAAGCACGCAATGTTTGAAAACGCACGCACTCGGGCGAGACATTCCTCCAGGATATATAGCTACTCAAAAAGCAGGCGTCGGTAAACTCGCTCTCAGTGTGTAGTAGTGCTACTATATTTTCAGCCAAAAAACAGAAAACGGTAATCGGTAGATCTATGAACGCGTGAGGGAAACCTAGAATTAGGTCGACCACCCATGCCGTGAGGTGAAGGTTTCTCGCACGTCTCAAAGATGCATTGTTGTTCGCACGCATGAAATTATACGCGTGCTCGGCGTGATTTTACTGGCGTTCATGATCAGGTGCCCGCATGCGGATGGCTGGCTGCTGGTCTGTGTCGCGGCAAGCGGCTAGCACACCGGCCTGCCTCGTCAACATCTGCCACCATGTTATTACAGTTGGCGGAAAATGACTGGCTTGAAAGGGGGGAGGATATTCAGTGGCGTTGTTGCGCTTTAATTAGTGGTTATACACTCTGTTGAAGCTCGTGGTGAAATGAGAGCATGTCTAACGTGTGCTGTTCAGCCGAGACTCTGAATGACTGCTATTCACGACCTGGCACAAGTTTCTAGATTGGTCGATGAAAGATTTCGCTTGATTCTTGCGTTCACAGTAAACGTGGATGAATGTCAATTCTCTGCGGAATCGTTAGAGAGTCTGCTTACAGTGAATGATGGTCTGGCTTCAGTGGCTTGGTAGTAAGTCATCTGTTAGTTTAAATATTTTTGAAGTACCATTAGTAATCAAAACCACAAATAAAATCTATTGGAGCTCTCTGTTACTTACAATATATCATTTGGTAATTTCTTCATCCGTTTTTTTTTACATTCGCTATACCATGTGCTCAGTCTCACTGCATATATGGTGTTATAATCGGTGGAAAGACTAGTTATACATGAAGTTATATATAGGTATATAATGTGGTGCGTGCGTGCGTGCGTGCGTGTGTGTGTGTGTGTGCGCGCGCTTGTGTGTTATGTATTATATATAGGTATATAATATGTTCGTATAGCTGTATAGCTGTATAGCTGTAGCTGTAGCTGTATAGCTGTAGCTGTAGCTGTATAGCTCGTATAGCTGTATAGCTGTATAGATATATAGCGTAACATGTCATTCTATTCCACCAACACTGCCACACCACACAAAGCAAATAACATTTATGCGTAAATAGGTCGGGTACAACGATATAGATGATAGTTTATTAAAATAAAATTTTCATCGCATAGTAATCACCAGACATGATAATATCCACATCTACTATAAGTATTTATAAACAACCCACAGTTAAATTCACTATCACAAAATCTTTTTACACAAAATTAAACTGTGAAATTACAATTGTATAATTTCTTCATTAGTTATTGTCGCGTTATACATATATTTTGCCATTCTGGACGATGTAAACAAACACTTGAGAATTTCGATCGTGCGCTATAAATTTGGGGACCAACGCTTAGGTTTCAGCTATTATACGCAGATATAGAAGACACACGTATAGATCTAATTGCTAATTATTGGTCATATTTATCATCAGATAATGTCTTTTAACGGGAAGCATCAATGCCCAATTTCGTGTAGACGTACAGTGCTACTGCATGCTAGACAATCTTAATAGGTTTGTAATTTTCTTTAATCGTCCTTGCGCCGGTTATGCAGAATTAATCGTAGATAAAGTGCTAAAAAAACATATTTAAAATAATTATATATATTCGCTTTTTAAAAACAGACCTGAGCGAATTTAGACACTTTATTCGTATTGTCCCAATTCATTGAGTACTGCATCTCGTTGACTTAATTGTCAGCGGGTTCAATAATATTTTCTGGATTCGCATTGTGGTCCTCCCCATGATGGTGGGCACTGGCATATCTGGACACCATGTTTCCACACACAATGCCCTCCGTGCTTGCAGTCGTACGGCCCACACGATCCTTGAATATCTAAATCAACAAAACCCTGTATGTAAGTTTATGCGCATTCTTACGGGGCACTTTTAATATGATTATTAATTAATAATATTATACAATTATTTTAATAGCAAGCACGATCACAGCCGATGGTAATGAATTAAGCACATTTGTAAAACAGTGACACTAGAGAAAGTATATTATAGAGATACATACCATGAGCACGGTAATGCTCACATCGCCGTCCAGTGTATCCAGTAGGGCACCTGCAGTAGTATTCAACGGATCCCCATGTCGGGTTCCAGCCACGGGACGAGCTAGTCAGACATACTCCACCATTGCGACAGGGGTTTGGATGACAGTAATCTGTAAATATAGATATATCAGCACGGTGATCAACCTGATAAAGGACTGTGCAAATGCAGGTAATTATTATTGTAATTGTAAAAAGCGCGGTTAACTGCATGGGAATGATTCTTATACCTTGACTTTCATAG